CCGCGGGGCTGGGCCCGGCTCAGGCCCGGCAGGTGCTGGGCGGAGGCTGCCTCGGAGAGCGCGGGGCCCTGGGCCTTCTCGTGGCTCTTGGTGGCAGCGAAGCTATCGCTGCGCAGCGGGGGCGGCGGCGGCGGCGGCGACGCAGGTGCTTTCTTCTTATCGGGGACGTGCCAGACGGGCCCAAAGCTGGACCTCCCCGAGGTGGGCGGCCTGGGCTCGGGGGCGTCCTCCGGCCTGGGGCTCCTGCTGCTCTCACGGGGGCCCCTGGGGGGGCCGTACCCCAGCCTCTCCTCCAGGCCCGGTGGGTCCTGCCGGCTGCCGCCGGGCCGGGACGCCTCCCACAGGCCCACTTTGTACAGCAGGTTCTCGGCCGAGGACGCATCGGCCTTGGGCAGCGTGTGGTCGGGGGTGCTGGAGCTGGTGCAGAAGGAGCCGTAGGCCGAGTCCCGCTTGCTCGGCCCGCCCAGATGGTCGATGCTGCTGCTGGACTTGGCCGCCGACAGGCGCCCCGAGGGGTAGGGCTGGGCGGGCTGGTCCAGGCTGTCCACGCTGCCCAGGGAGCTGAAGTGGTCCGAGCTGCGCTGCAGGTTCGTGGGCTCCCAGGCGCCCGACAGGTCCTGGGAGGAAGAGCTGGGCAAGAGAAGGGGCACAGGGGCAGCTCGCTTTAGGATCAGTCACGGAAAAGGGGAGAGAGACCACCGCCCTGCGCAGACAGGGCACAGCACCGGGAGACAGTCACTCTTCCTAGAATGGGAAGGACCGAGCCCCGCGGACACCTTGCAGTGCCTCGGGTCTGTCTCTCGGTGCATCCAGGACCCCGCTGGCCCCAGAAGGCAATGCCCGGGTGAACACGGCCCCCCATCAATCATGTGTTAACTGTAGTGGTTGGCAAGCTGAAGCCCAGGAGCTAAATACGGTTTTTAAATTGGCTAATAATGGTTGGGGGAGGGGGTTGGTATAGGATCAAAAGAAAATTACTGCATGACTCATGAAAATGACACAAAGTTCAAATGGATGGGGCCAGTCACAGCCGCTTGACACAGTCTGGGGCTGCTTTCGAGCTGGAGGTGAGGGGCAGCAACAGCCCTGGCCGCAGAGTCTGACACAGTCACCCTCTGCGGTCCACAGAACACGCCGTGGACCCCTGGTTTAGCATATGAGGCAATGTTATTATCAATTATGAACACAAAAGCAATCAAATGAGAATGGTTTTAAAATTCAAAGGGAAAGTGGAGAACATCACTTTCCCAAACCCAGCTATTGAAGTAGCAGTTGCACACTGTTCAGTTTGCAAACGTCTGGAAAACGAGATGACTCGGGCGACAGGCTTTCTCTGCACCACCACGCGCTGCTGTGTTCAGGTACCTGATCGAACCGTGCAGACTTCCTTGGAACTGCACCTGAATGCCCAGAAGATAGGTTCCTGACTAGGACAGGGCCTAAGAGCAGGAAGCGAAAACTCGGGTGTGCTACAACCAGGGAGACACATGGTTAATTCAGGAATGAATTCTTCAGGGAGGGCGCAACAGTGGCAGCTCTCAATAGTGCAACTATGTATCCAAATATGTTAAAGGCTTTCAGTGACGCTCAACAGAGCTGGAACATTTACGCTTCAATGTCAAACACACACACACACACACACACACACACACAAAACAAGCAAACAAACAAAAAAACCACCTGTGGCTACTTTAGGTCTGGGGAGAACCAGGATGAGAGGGAAAACCCTGTGACCAGGAAAAGGCCATGGCAGTGAATGGCTAAGTCGCCCGAGGGAGGACGGTGAGCGTCTCCCACCCCTTCCCATGAGGACAGGCCAGGTACCCTCCTCAGACACCGAGCACGCCCCTGCCCGCCCTCACCAGCACTCCCGAGGCGGCTTTCCCACGAGCGCCCAAGTCCAAGGAGCTATTAGTAACGCGTAAGTACTGTTTCCGCAAAGGTGCAGGCAGAACGCCTGTTTCTTTAATCAAGAAACCGCCAAATGGGCCTCATGGAGAGCCCATCACAGTAAGTCGGCTCAATAATGAAATAAAAGCCCGCTTGTCAACTGAGTGGTAAAATCTGTGGTTTTTCAAAAACACCCTGGGCTCCCATTAGCACCATCTCCTGTCGCTTTAAACAGCTAATGCCGTCTTCGACACACACTGCCTTCGCTTCACATGGGTACTTTGCAAATTGACGGCAGACTAGTACCGTAAGCCGAAAATTGATTCTGACATGGTGGCGTTAGTCCCCAGCACACACATATAGGCACAGACACACTTGCACAGATACACATGCACACCCACACATGCATGCACACACTGATAAACACATAAAGCAACACATATAGATACACATTCGAGCACACAGATACACATGCATGCACACCCACACATGCATGCACACACACAAATGCACACAGATACACGTGTGTGCNGCACACAGATACACATGCATGCACACCCACACATGCATGCACACACACAACAAATGCACACAGATACACGTGTGTGTAGAAAGCATGCACGCTCACACACATGCATAACAAATGCACATATGCGTGTGCACACTTGCATGGACATATGCATACACACACACAGTCATGCATACACAAACACACATGCATAAACAAGCGCGCACATAGATACATTCAAGCACACGCCCATGCACACGCATCAAAGCCACACTATTTGCTATTGCTGTAACTGTCATCCTTCTAACAGGACAGCCGTTAGGACACTGGCCACTAACCTGAGGTGGCCAGGCAGTGTCCTACGACTAGCAGGAGCCTCGTCAAGCCAACACCGCCATGGTGCTGTCGCATGCCCGCCTGGCATTAGCCCTCCAACTGTGAAATGTGGGTCCCAGGTAGGCGAGGTGGACCAGCACTTCCCCTTCCCCCGACCCACAGCTGCCACGGCCCCCATCTCACACTCAGTGGTAACCACGGGCGGGCTCAAGACTTGTCGCTGCCCCGGCACGTGGGCTGCGAAAGCTCCGGCTTCCCTACCTCCACAGCAGCACCCGAGGGAGCTCTTGCCAAATACACCGGCCCAACCCAGGTAGCTGCGGCCTCTCAACCTGCATGTCAGCATCTCTAAAGAAGGGTGTGGCTATGGGCACAGGGGTGGCTCAGAACCACCAACCCGGGCCCAGGCTCTGGGTTCGTCCTTAAATAACATAAACGAGAAAGCAACGTGTCCATCCTTGCTCTTGGCGTTTCCGTTTTTGTTTTCAAGTACTGCACACCTGTCTGCACAGTGGACACATTCAGAGTCCCACAGCAACGGCGTGTCCGTGGCCTGTTCTCAGGAAAACAAAATCGCCCTGAAGTGAAGCGAGGGACCGCCACGGCAGGGCTGGGGGGTCCTGAGTGTCTGCAGGGGGCCACAGTTCCCATCCCAGCGGGGAGGGTGCGCCTACCTCACGTGGTGTCGGCCCTGCCAGGATGGGCAGGCGCCGGAGGACAGCGGACAGGCGGGCGCCTCGGGGTGGCTGTCGGAGAACTTGGTGGCATGCCAGGAGTGAGGCCTCCAGCTGAGCTCATTTCTCCTGTAAAAGAACGTAGGCGGCTCAGGGGCTGCACACGGGGACAGCGTCGTGCTGAGGCTGGGAAGAAGTCACCGCAGCTTCTACGCCACATACAGCACCGTGTTCAAGTGCTGCCACTGTCCCTGGGCACGAGCACGCTTTTTAAAAAATGTGTTGTAGTTAAGTAAATCTTGCCCGCCCACCCCCAGACCACAGAGGGAAACTTCCATGGGTCCCGTTGGGCACAGCTGGCCCGGCCCCTCCGCCTCCTTGAGGCTGGAGAAGCGGCTGGGCCGCAGGGAGCTCGACGCGTCCCCAGCTCAGCTGGGTCGCAGCTCAGACTGCTTCTCTCTGCATATGTCCTCACTTCAGTAAATGTGGCTCCGTCACAGTTAACTAAGACTAACAGGCATATAAGCCTCTGAACCTCTCGGAGGATCTATTACATCATCTACAGGTCCCTGTCATGTGTCCCACGAAGCCCTCGTCCAACAGGTGCAGTGCAGGGCTTCTGAGCAGGTGTGAGCCTCCCCGGATCCCACTCCAGTCCTGGCCACACCGTGGGGGGTCTCTTAGTTTTCTGGCCACACCTGCCCAGGTGAGACAGGTGTGCCCCGGTGAGACAGGTGTGCCAGGTGGAAATCCCTCCACCTGCCGGGGGAACGTAACAGCCTCCAGGCACCTCTGGCACGTCCAGGCCTTCGGTTTAAGACAGAAAGAACCTGGCAGTGGACGGCTCCCCACCACGGAGCCTCCATCGGGCCCCTTTGGGTAGTTGCAGGAGATCAAACGTTCTCCCGAGAGGGCAACACCGTTAAAGAATATTATGCAATAAAGAATATTAAAGGAAGAACCAAAATGCCCATATAACCTAAACCCCCTAATGACTCGGTCACAAAGGAGGAAAAACACCTGGGTGGGGGAACACGGAATGTGTTGACTTTACGACAGTTTCCCAGGAACTAAAGCACAAAGCAGGCGGATTCCTCACACCGCAGAAGTAAAGGGTCGTGAACCCGAGACTGTACCTCCTGGAATTTCTCCGGATCCTCGTGAGGAAAGTCCTGGCCTCATGAATTTCATTTTCAGATGGCGTTCCCTGTGCTAGAATATCCACAACTTCTCTCATTTCCTTTAGAGTTAGTTAGAAGGGAACAGACTAGACTAACTGAAACAGAGGCAAAGAGAAAAGGCGGGCTGGGAAAAGAAAACGCTTTACACTCCGGCAACATGTCGAGCCGGCCGCTGGGACTCCTGGGGTGGGGCTGGGGTCACTGGCCAGTGCTCCCCGGGCACATGCTGTCCTTCCTTTTAGAAAGATAACACACAGATGTGTGTCTCTTTCAAGAAGACACAGCCAGCCCTGCCGGTGTGGCTCAGCGGTTGAGCGCTGACCTAGGATCCAGGCGATCGGGGTTCGATTCCCGGTCAGGGCACCGGCCCAGGTTGCGGGCTCGATCCCCAGTAGAGGGCGTGCAGGAGGCAGCCGATCAGTGTTTCTCTCTCTGCCTCTCTCGGAAATCAATAAAAACATATTTAAAAGAGAAGACACATAGTCAAACGTTAACAGTACTAATCGGGGCTACTTTTTAAAAAAGCAAATGAAACCTGGTAGAAACACCTACAACCTATAAACAAGGACATCACAGGCACTGGGGACAGTGACGTTTTCCTGAACTACATGCGTGCGGTTGTCCTGTGACTTTCTAATGCACAGTGAACGCATTTGGGGTCAGAGACGGTTCCAGCCGGTTTGTTCAAAAGCACCTGAGGCCTGAAACGGCTGGATTGGTGACGGTAAGAGACAGAAGGCCATTCGCGCCTGCGTGCGGGTCACCCGGTCACCGTCCTGTGAGGGTGCTGGAAGGGAAAGCTCTAGGGACAGAGAGCGCTGGTGCCACCTTCAGTTCCCACAAAGTCACTGTCCCTTTGCTCAGTTTTACACCCGCCCCTGCAGCAGAAATGACTGACAAGAGCAGATTTAAGACCCTAGGCCAATAAAACTGTGGCGTTCCTTCCCACACAAGATACACACGTGCTCACGTGGCTTTATTTATTTATTCACTATTTTAAAATATGTTTTTATTGATTTCAGAGAGAGGAAGGGAGAGGGGGAGAGAGAGAGAAACGTCAATGATGAGAGAGTCATGGATCGGCTGCCTCCTGCACGCCCCTGCTGGGCATCGAGCCTGAAACCCGGGCCTGTGCCCCGACGGGGAATCAAACCGTGACCACCTGGTTCGTGGCTCGATGCTCAACCACTGAGCCACACCGGCTGACATTCTGGTGGCTTTCAACCACTCGTCCCTGGAAATGTGCGGCCATGAGGGGCACAAAGACAGGTCCCAAGCGGCGCCAGGAGAGGAGAGCAGAACACGGTGCCGGGAGGCCCAGGAGGCCACCGCCAGGCTGTCCTTGTGTGGGGTGAGCCCCTTGCTGCCGTCGTAAACCATATATATGGTGACGGGGGAAAACGGGACTTTTTGGGTGGTGGGTGCACAATGCAATATACAGATGGTGTATGGTAGAATTGTACCTAAAACCTATATAATTTTATTGACCGATATCACCCCAATAAATTTAATTAAAAATAATAATTTCAGCCCTATGTGGCGTGGCTCAGTGGTTGAGCACCGACTCGCGCACTAAGAGGTCACTAGCTCCATTCCTGGTCAGGGCACATGCCTGCGTTGCTGCTCGATCCCCAGTAGGGGGTGCCGGAGGCAGCTGATCAATGTTCATGTTTCTCTCTCATCAGTGTTTCTATGTCTCTCTCCCTTTTCTCCCTAAAATCAATAAAAACACATTAAAAATAATAATAATAATAATAATAATAATTTTATATGCTAGGTAGTCTTTTTTGTTGTTGAAAGGATGGGGTTTATATCACAAATACAAAAAAAAAAGCTAGGATATCACTCAACATGAAGAACAACAGCTCTAGATACCAAAATTCATTTTTAAAGGGCAATTAGACCAGAACTGCTTCCTTCCCCCTCCAAAAATAAAAAAATGCCATGAGTTCAGGATTATTTTTCTAACCTTTTCAAATGCAGCAAATAGGCCCAGCCTCACAAAATAAACAAGGTCTGCATTTAGTGCCCAGGAACTTGGCCAGTCTGACAGGATAAGATCCGCTGGCTGGGAGGCCAAGGTCGGGCCAAGGTCACCAGC